AAAGAGATCTGCTGCAAAGCGAAGGCATGGCCGTGTCTGCGGGAAGGGAGGGTCCATGCTCTCTGGACTCGGCCCTAGTCTTCTCCGAGTCCATGCAAACATTTCACGTTTGCCCTCCTTGTGCCCCCCGGCTACTGCAGCACAATTTTTGAATGCGATGGGATAATCCTCGGCCTATCGCTAAAATCTGCAACGACACATGGCAGAGATAGAGTTGATCAGCTCTCCAGCTTCCAGGCATGGGTAGGTAGCTGCTGGATCAGGAATTATTGCATTGCACTGAAAATTGGCCAACTATATCACAGTGGTCTTCACCTCCCTTAGCAATGCTGGCGAGGGGAACGGGAGAGATGAGCTTGTGCCCATTGGCCAGATCTACAGTGGTAATCCTATGTACCAAGCGGGATGAAGCTGCTCCATATGCCTCATGGAGGCCTGTAAAACAGAATAAATGTCACCTGGGTGGGTTGACATGAGCAGAACTTGTTTCCATGAGTTTCCCAGGGGAGGAGCAGACCTCAGGGACCCGTTCAGTACAGACCTCGCAATACTGAGCAGGACATGCTAAAATAACAGAAGTTGCAATTCTATTTCCTACTATCAATGACAGACTTTGTCAGATAAGGGACTGAAAGTTTCCTAAACCAGATATTGGGGCTGCTTGGCTTGCTAGGGTGGGTAAACCTAGAGTCACCGGTGCAGCGGAGACAAGAAAACGAGGAACAGGTTACAAAAAATCAGGAGGAATCTGATAGTCAGTGCTTGCAGATGCAATGAGATCTCAAGTGATTTGTCATCATTAAAGGCTCCTATAGTATGGTTACAAGGTGAAGGCTTTAATCTCAGTGTCACTGTCAGACTCCAGTCAGGTTAGTTCACTTTAACTTTTCAAATCCCTTCCCTGAAACTTCAGTAGGAGTTGGTGTTTTTCTGCACTTCCTGTCCTAAACCCACCACATGATATCGGTGCTCTTTTTTGTACACTTATCATGTACTGTCCCCAGAAGGCCTTACATTTCAGTTGTGGACTCAATGCCACAAGATACCAGTGAGGCCAAGACTGTAGCAGGAACGAGCATGAGAAATGGGCATGACATGGGGAACAACATGTGATCTGAAACAACCAGTTCATGTGTGCTCCTGGACATAATCCAGCCCCCATGCTAATAGGGTCAGAAGGAGACACTCACTGAGGTCAGGTTATCTGCCCACTCTTAGGTACTTTATACCTTCCCCTGAAGCATCTGGAGCTGTGCTCAATTGGAGGAAGACTCTAGTTCTAGATGAAGCACTGCTCTAATCCTATATAATAATTCCTGTGTTCCCATCAAGCACGGCTAGCCCATTGATTCAAAGGGCATAGACCCATTAGAACGCACTTTAAAATCCCTTGAGATGAAAGGTGATGTGCACATATTTTTATTACTGTATAATTTAACAATTGCTATTACCTATCAGGGCATATCTTAGCATCAGTGATGCAGACAGACCATTTACAGCAAATATGATATAAAGCCAGGACTGCATGCCTCAAAGGCCTAGCGAGGGTGGTGGTCAGGACTCAGCCTGTGCAGACAGACTATACGGCCGTCTGGTATAAGCCCTTCAGAGCTGGTCTGGGTTGCACTGGTGCAATGTCTGTGCTAGTGCATCATCTCAGGCTCTCTATAGCAGCCGAGAGGCAGGGTCCTAGTCCAAGCAGCAGTTCCCAAACCCACTTCCCACATTTCAGATGGTCCAAGATGGGATGCAAGTGACTGGCACCCAAAAGCTGCTCTTGAACTTGTTGCTTTTGAGCTGGGACTTGTGAGATGTACTTGAGCAGGTCAGTCATCCAAAGCAAATCCACAACATGTAATTCATAAGCTTGTCTGAGCCGGGAAGCTGAATTATAACCTAGTGATGGTCACTCCTCCCAAGCAGAGATCCTATCTTACCGAAACTTTGCCAGTCCTTCTTTTCCAGGATAAGACCAGAGGCCACGGTGCACTGTACTAATCCCTTGCTGCAGATGACATCCTATGCCATTCTTCTCCCTGTCCCCGGAAGTGAGACTCTGAAGGTACAGTTCGTTACTTCTAGACAGAGCAATGGCTTTTGGGTGCTATATGTGATGGCTTGATCTTTCCCTTGTGTGCACTTTATTGCAGTCACTGAGCCAAGGTGTTTTTCACCAGTGCAATCTAATGGAAAATCCTAAACTGGAAGCATTTTGTGCTGATCTGTAAAGGTGTAAAAGGAAACGAGATGCAGAGCAGCGCAGAACCAAGTCCCATGTGCCTGATTCACTCTTATATTCCAGTGTTACCCCGAGGTAATTGCTGATGGATTTAATGGAGTTGCATCAGTACAGAGCCAGCCAGACAGTGGTGCATCAGGCCCTGGGAGTCCACGGACATCAGGTCCCCCAAGTGAGGATTTTTAATGTGTGTAAACGCCAGGGCTTTCCAGTACCCAAAGAGAAAAATTCATGTAAGAAACAAACAAAACAACAAACAGCAGCAGCTAAACTAAACTTAAAAAAGAAACCCCCTAAACTACTTGGCTCCGTATCTAGAGCTGCAATAAGAAATTCCAGGGAGAAGAAGCCCCGAAGGTAGAGATGAAAGTGAACAGAAAAAGCAGCTTTTAAGTTCAAAAAAGAAAAAGAAAGGAGAGGAGAGGAAAGAATAATAATAATAATAAAAAAGCCCTGCCTGCCCAAGTAGGGCTGCGGAGAAGGTTTCTGATTCCTGGTCCAGGTCACCTCTCCCGTGGCACTGTGCCGTCTGCCGTGGTCTGGCGTGTCCGACACCCCAGCCAACGGGCGCCCCTCCGCCCCGCCATGCAAACAGAGCCCGTGTGCAGAGAAAACTAGAGCCAAGTGCGCAGCTCCTTTCCTTGGGTTGCTGGCTCCTTGTGAGTGATGTCTGCAACTGGCTGGAAATTAAAACAACTGTCTGCATTACACTCGCTCTGTCTGTCAAAACAGCGCCCAGCTCTCAGCAGCTGGGGAGTGAGGGCCTGAAAGGAAGCTGTGTCTCTCTCAACAAAGGCCACTTTCATGCCAAGTGCTGTTGATATAGTGAGAACCCAGTTCCTCTCTGAACATGAAACCAATAGGGCTGCTATTCTTCTTGTTTCCTGGGCCCTACTTAACAGCTTTAAAAAAAATTGTGTGTGTGTGTTGTGTTGTGTTTGCATGTGTGTATCTGCGTGTGTGTGTGTGTATATCTGAGCAGGGCCAAAAGACTAGAGGGTATTTTCAGTCCAAGAAGCCTGGTATAAGCCAGTGTGATGATCTTGGAGGCCTCTGGGTCACACTCAGGGGTGAGTTAAGCAGGGGTAGATGGTCCATACTAAGTGTGCGGCCACCAAGCTGTATGCGAATGGCACTCATTTAGCATTTTAGCACCGTACATGTATTTACAGTGCCAACTTGGCACAACAGGGACAAGGTTTGGTGGTGCCTCTGAGTCCTACTGCTCTAACCACCCCCAAGCACAACTGAGAGCTACACAGTATTCCCAACTCAGCCATGGCCAAGTTCAACTCATAGTAGAAAGAGCCTGTACATACGTTGCCTATCTAGGTCTGGTTAAGACCACCAGCACCATAAATGCCTTAAAATATGCAATTTTTAAAGGTAAAATAGAATATCCGTGTGGCATATGGAAAGCCTGGTGAAAATTCCCGATAAATGAATGCATGCTGGCTGTCAGCGGAGGGGTTTAAGTAAGCTGCGTTTCTGTTCAGTGTCTCAAGTGGGTGAGGGAGGGAAAAGGAACTTCTAAACCCAACAGAAAGGCCCAGAAAGCGAAGCATTTCTGTCCCAAAGCTGCAATCCTTCTTCCCACTCCCAGCCAGGGCTCCTGGGTAGGATACCTGTCCCCGCAACCATCCAAGTTTCCCAATGGCGACATGGGAGCTAAAGTGAAGGCAAGCAAAGAGCCCGTCGGGCACTGGGTGGTGCGAGGGAGAGAAGAGCGGAGTTGGCCCCGTGACGAGACTCCTGCTCCCTGTGCTGGGGCGTCTGCGAGTGCCTGAGAAGGTGGACGGCTGGGCAGCTCCGTGAGCCCAGGCCTGCCCGCTCTTCAACAACAGCTGGAACTTGGGCTGTTCCTGGAGCCACTGAACATTGTCCTCCAAATCCCTGCCAGCCATTGTCATGGCTG